ACTATTAAATTACTTGTTATATTTAACTAACTTAAACTAATTTCATTTAATTGTTGATTGTCAAAGTCAATCAAATTATTAACGCATTATGGTGCGTTAATTGTGTTCAATTACTTCATTGATTAAATTAATACACTTCGGGAATGACTTTCGCTACTTGGTTGTAGTTGATACAATAGTTTACTCAATATAAGGAAAACAATAAATTACATGACAATTGTTGATTTGTAATGTAACTGATTAACATTTGTGTTTATGTAACTTATTTAAAATGTTAATCTAATTCAAAAATGCTCTAAACTGTAATCATTGATCATGGTGCAGATTAATAAACAAAACTACTGGTGAAAGTAAATTAATCCATCAATTGAGTTATTTATATACAATCAAATGATAACAATTGGGTTTAATCAGGACCAAAAAAAAGTTTCAATAGTAAACCAACAAAAAACTATAATAATAAACATCGCAAGGAATAAGTTGTTATTTTGATAATTCAGAATAATATGAAAGGGAAATAAGAGATTAATCATTTAACAATAGTACGATGTCCAATCAACGAGTTTATCAGACATTTGATTGTGTTAATTGTCCGAGTGAAAGCTTAATCAAGTTAATCTTGTATAAGAAAATTACGATTTTGTCCAAAAATTATCACAATTACGTTGCAACATGATGATAGTTACTTGATAACTATTGTTTTACCTCTATAGCATTTTTCGAGTCTATTTTTACATGTCCATAGTAGTGAATAGTGTTTATCGTGGAGGAAGAGGAGGTGGTGGTAAATGTTGTTGATTGTTTACCGTAAACAATAAAATAACAACAAAGTTTCACGCACTTAAACAATTGATCTAATCGAAAATTTAATCGAGTTAAAGATTTTTCTAAACTTATCGTCAATTTAGTCTTAATCATCAAGTTATCTGATGAGCGTGACCATAAAAAAGATAACGGATTAAATAGATATCAATAGATGAGAGGAAGAGTTTTAATCTGAGTGTGTGGTTTGCTGATGTGATTATCTTATTTTCAACACCAAAATTATAATCAACATCATCATCAATGGATTATTAAGATTACGATTAAGAAAAAGTAAATGTAACGGAAGTTTACTGGTAAAATTACAGGTAATACAAAAAAAAGAAGTGGAAAAAAGTATTATTAACAATCAAATCGAAAAGGAAACTTAAAGGTCAACAAGGTTGGTAACCTTGTTATTAAGTAAAAGCGATTGGACAAAGTTAATTTTAAATGATTAACCAGCAACAATTGATAAATCATAGAAATACAATTTTGAAATGTGGATAATCACCAAAGTTAAAATTGAGAAATCAATGAGATTAATCTGATTAATCCGTCATGAATTCACTATAATTCATCAAAGGAAAATGACCAATGGAAACTCAGTCTCACTATTGTCAGTTTCATCTTCAATCTATCTCATAATATCTATAGTTTAATAACTTCCGGATTCTTTAATTGCGAAGTTTTATCGAGAACTAATTTATAGTTTCGATTATTGTTTAGTCAATTATTGATAGTATCTAATAAGTTGACCATTTTGTCGTAGCGTAAAATAGTAAGCTAATCATTCAGTTGTGATTATCAAAAAGAGAAATGGAATAAAAAATAGAAAACTAGAATAGACAGTAATTCATGTCAATCTTTGACAATGATGATTAATTACATTGTGATTAAATTGATTGATTAATGTGGGAAAATTTGGGAATTTGATAGAAGAGTTAATTGTTACTATTAATTACATGATAAAGATTGAATTGATGAGAATCATAATTTCAAGTTGAAAAACTATTAACCTAAACCAGTTAGACTAATCAATTAATAGTATTTAGAGTGGTTAGAGAGAGAGAGACGATTATTGAAATCATTAGGACAGGTAAATGAATTGAAACAAGAAATATCACCATGAGGATGAGGATTAATGATGAATATAAAATAATCATCAATAAAAAAACATGAAATTAATGTAACTCAAGATGGAGACAAGATAAGTATGTAAACAATTTAAGTGACCATCGCAATCAATAAATTGTAAGAAATAGTAATAATAAATTGTTACATCGTGACAAACAATCAGGTTTCAGGACAATCTAATTGGTGAATGGTGACCAAGAATATTCAAAAAGAAAACCAATCCTAAAAAAAGTATCATTAATGAACAGCCAACAAATCATAATGGTCAAGATCATTATGATTAACTGATTTGTTAACAGTTAATTGATGACAAATGTTCAACTGGACATTGATTAAGTAACAATGAATGGGAAATAATCAAGGTAACATTAATCAAGATTAGAAATTGATTATCGTGTCGGTTTCATATTGTCTGATTGTGATTAAACCTTTAAAATCATCACTCAACCTCTCAGCTGAAAACCTTATCCTAAGGGGATCCACACCTAATTGTTGTTGTTTCAAGAGGACTCGATTAATTATCAATATAAAGAGCAAAACTAATTATAATGATGACAATTAGCAATCAATGATACGGTAAGTTTTCACCAAAATCGAGTTAATTGCTGATGATGGTCAAGATGAAGTGATACTTAGGTAGAAAAAAACAAAATGTTGATGAATGGTTGATTAGATGATAATCATAAATTGATGATAAAAATGAAGGCAAAAAGGTTATCAAATTAAGATGGAGATGATAAAGATTAGAGGCTTAGAATTTTCCTTTTTTCTTCACAAAGATTATGAAGATTAAGAGAAAATGCTAATAATCAACTGATTATAATAAGAAACTGAATAGGGTGAAATAAGTTTACTGATTGTTAACAGAGTATTTAATTTGCTTCGGGCTTGACCTGATTATTGACCTGATCACACGCAAAGTGTTTGATCAGCAGACTCTATCTCTCCCTCTCCAGTCATCTTCATCTTTTCTGCTTCTGTCTAATTAACGGATATAAGGTAACATGAGGATCGTAGGAGGTCAAAGGATATCAGTATCTCGATCATAATTAACATTAAGTGTGTGGTAAACGTAGAGGCCATTCATTAAAACGCACATACATAAAAACATATGATAGTCATGATTAACCAACACACACATATAATATTAAGTTAATGATAACAGAATCAGTAATAAGTGTATGAGACTTGAAAAGTTTATCAGGCTAATAATGGTGATGATAATATTATGATAGTTGTATCATCATCACCCAAAATTAGATTGTTAAATTCAGGAAAAGATCATTTCAAAAGTTGCATAATTTAATCAATTACAAATCACAAGTTAATCAGAAAAAGCTTAGAAAAACAACTCTACCTGTTGCATCATGTATATTCAATTGAATTCACACAGAGCCACAACACTAAAAACAAGTTACAAACATAAGATTTGCGTTTGCAAATTATTACATCAACAAAAAAATTGAGTGATTTTTACATATTTGACCCAAGAGAGAGAGAGAGAGAGAGAGAGATGAGTATGATTATTAACAAACAGAATTAAATTTTGTATTCCATTAATATAATTTGCATTGATTAAATTTTCAATTTGATGTCTTTAATCAAAATCTATTTTAAGCTAAATCAAACCTCAAACAATAAATAAATTATCGTAAGCAATTTAAATGGTGCTAAAGCGGAAATTGATTTGCAGTAATAGGGAAATAAACAAATTGATATTATCAAAAGTAATAGTTATACCAAATAGATGATAATTTAAAAACAACAATGATTGTTCACTTCAACGGGTTAAGCAAATTGTAATCATCAAGATTAATATTCAACAGTGATGATTTTGTTACTATTTTCTGCAAAATAATTTCTCTGAAGTATAAAAGCTCATGAATTAAATTGTATTAATAATTTACAATTGTTATTGATCAAAATGTATGAGAAAAAGTGTTGATTAGTTCAAACAGTGAGTAAAAGAGGGAGAAGGGGTTGGATTAACTTTCTATTTCTTAAATCAGTTGTATTAATGGCTTAACCATCAAGGATAAGGTGCAAACTATTATATCGGTCAAATAGCCTGAAGAAATGTAAGAATTGATATTAAAAAAAGTTAAAAGTAACAAAAACAGTTACTGATTATCCCTCAGCATTTACCATGAACCCTGTCCATTTAATTATCAAATATAAAAGTTAAAAGTAAAACAACTTGATCAATATCACAATTAAATTGATGATAATGGTTTAAACTAAATTAAATCTTTAACAACAACAAAACCAACAGTTTGAAATCATATTGAACTTTTTTTTGGTTAAAGATTTTAACAGGATAACAGAAATTTAGATTGTGACTGAGAGGCACTTCCGAATTAATTTCCGTTCCTGATTTAGTTTATTAATTGTGATAAAAAAACAATTTAACTAATACGTATACATCTACATCATCATCGTAATCAAATAGGTGCTCAGGCTAAATCACCAATAACGGTAAAAAAGTAAGAAAAATAAAGGAAGAGAATTAGAAAAGTAAATCATTTTTTCGTTGCGAATCGAATAGTGAAAAACCAAATATGAAATTGATTGTTGATAATTGAAAATTTCCGATAATGATTAAAATGTAATTAGTTATAAATTGTAATAATCATTAGTTATTATTGTTAATCATTAAATAGTTTGCAATCATTTTAATACAAATTGGGCTTTTCTGTTGAAATTAAATTTTTCCAGAAAATCAGTTTTCTTGATTATCTTTACTTAAAAATTATGATTAAGTTATGATTTTTGAATTAATTTCAAATTGGAATACAATTGTTATTAACTATCAATGAAACCGATCGTAGTTAATAAACTAATTGTCACTACCGAGAATCATAAAGTAACGTGTTTAATATTAGTGTAGTTATTAGTTAATTATCTGCATTAGAGTTTTGGTCAAGCGTTTTCAATGCAAAAGTAATTAAGTGACCTTTTCTTGTTGAGTACAAACAAAATTTGCAAGTAAATTGTTGGGAATTAATAAATTGATGTAAACCACACGATTTAAGTGTTATGGAAATAATAAAATTAAGACTTACCTCATCTCGTTTGTGGGGTTTTGCTTTATCTAGATTTCTATTTGATTTCTCGTATTCAATCATTAAACCAGTTCGACGATTAAGCATTTCCTTTTCCGTTTCAATATAACGAGACCATAAATCAAAGCTTGATCCTAGAGTGGCTTCATCATTGAAATTGATAACTTCCAGACCTCTCTGTTTAAAAAAGACCATGATAAGCAATCAAAAGAATGATTAAAATTAATTGTTGCTTTGTTATAAATTTTGTACAATGTCAAGTTAATTAAGTAAAAGAAATTGTAATTCATTTCAATTTGTCACCACTAATAAGTGATGATAATCAACAGCAAAATGATCATTAATTTATAATTTATGCTAATTTTAGTTTGTCAACTAATTTAAATGATTTTCATTAACGAGATGAATATTTATCCTTAATATTCATTGACTAAATTAATCTCTGGTTGAATAGTCAAAATGAGATTAATTGATGAGGATGAATATTAATAATTACCTGATAATCATCAATGGCAATTGAGAAAAGGTTTCCAAATTTCATGGCTTGACGATTAGATTGATTCTCACTACTTCCGGGGATATTTAAATTAAGAGTTGTCGATAAATGTGATAGAGATCCACAGAGTTCTAGATAAAGATGAATACAGAAAAATCAACATTAATATAACAGAATTGAGATGATTAACTAATTAGAAACAATCGTAAGTAAACTACTCCTCATGTAAATTAGTTAATTGGTCGAGATTTTATGTGTAGGAGGAAAAACAAATTATTCTTAGACAAGATTTAAATCATATCCTCAGTAGGGTTTAAGGATAATTTAGTTTTTTTTGAAAAAAAGTTGATCACAATTAAAGGGATCAGTTAATCCACAATAAAAGGATAAGATTAGAGTAGTAAATAATAATATCGAAACGGTAAATACTTTTTCCACCCTAAAGAAAGACCCAAGGAAATTTTGATTGATTGATTGTTGATTATAAAATATAGATTATAAAAATTAGAAATCAATTGATCAGGTAAACAACAACAACAACAACATCAATAACCAATTAGATGAATCAATTGTAATTATAACAACGAAAATGATTACAATCAATCGTAAACAATAATTATTGGATTAACTGGATTTACCTTTAAGTTTAATCTCTTTTTTCCAATTATAATTTGGTTAACCTTTAAATCGATTAAAAAAAGAAGACACAAACTAATTTATGGTACAAAAAGTTAATTGTGATTAGGAGAGAAAAAAGAAAACTTTACAATTTAATCAACAATCAAAAGGCAAACAATCTAAAAGTACCAAAAATAGATGATAGTAAATGATTAATCATTTGGATTAGAAATTATTGGAAAAAGTTTTCGAAACTTTGTCAAACTGTAAATGGAGCTATCTCGTAATTAATAATATTTAATTACAATCAATTTAATTGTATAATTACTTTTATCAACAGTCCAAATAATTGATAAGTTTAATTGATAATTTATTGAGATTAAAAAGAGTTGAAAATAAAGTATGAGAAAAAGTGAAATTCAGAACGATAAGATAATTGAAATTATTTGATATTAATTATAAATCGATTATCAGTAATTAAAAAAGTTCAATTAGATTCTGATTGAGAGAAATAAATTCAAATCAATAGTTAATTATTTAGAATGGTCAAAAATAATCATAGTTAAATGATTTACAATTAACAAATAATCAATATCAGTCATTTCCTGATCAATTAAGATAATTTAAATCAAAGAAAATTAATAAAGATCAAGATTGGGATTAAGATCGAGTATCAATAAAGTTTTAATTTTCTTGAACAACGAAAAAGTAATTAATCTTAAGGCCTAACAGGTCACTTTCGGTAATCGTAACTGACGTATCATAATCAAATTGACTGTTCTTTTTTTTTCAACTAATTTAAGTTTATTTTCTCACTTTTTTTCAATTCTTTTTATCATTTCCATTCACTAATTTGACAGAAAACAACAGTTAATTATATTATTAAGAAATGATGAGGAATATAAATACATTACAGATGAAAACATCATCATTATGATAACAATAATGATTGTGCTAATGTAATAATAATGATAACATCGTGATTATAGCAATAAGAGTAGGGACCACACCTTTAATTTGATTTAAATAAGATGCTTTTGTTTTGTAAATATATGATAAGATGATAAAATTCAAACTAATTGACAAGTTTATCGTTTATTATAACATGAAGTACATACTATTCATGATAATTAGTGAGAGTATAATGATTAGATTAACCTAGAGTAAATAGTTGATTGGGATGATGATGATGATGATCAACAATTGATATGAATAATTGATAAAATAACAGCAACAACAATCAACTGGACAATGGTATATATTTATTTGAATGATGATAATACTAATGAATCAGATTCTGTTCATGATCATGCTGATAATAAACATGACAAGATTGAGGAGATTTCAAATAAATTGAAATTAATAATCTATTCCATAAACAATCAATGATATGGTTAACAGTAGGCTAAATGATAATTTAATTTAATCACCATAATTGGTTTAATTATATGCAGTATTTATCCTTTTCAATTTCAATTTCACTTCCTTTAGATCATCATTTGTAAATCGTTTCCGTTTTATCACTTATTATTATTATCATTAATCATCATGATGATATTTCATCTTTAATCATATTCTGTGTGATTATAATTATCTGATTATATAGATTGTTTAAAAACCACTAATCACAATTTACAATTTTTCCCCTTTAAGTAATTCTGATTGATTGATTGTTGTTAATTTAATAATATTAATAATGGGAAGAGAAAGTTTAATGAAAAAGGAAAACGGAAACAGGTAAATTGTGATTTAAAGATTAAGATGTAAGAGTTGATAAGATTAAAATGATTAGCGAAATTGGTTTTACAATTAGAGTGATAACAGTTGGAAATTAATGATTGTGATAGTCATATATCATCAATCAACGGTCACAAATTGTTATTTGGCAAAACAATTAACGTGAAAATTTATCAATCTGATTATATTGACACTCGAAGTGATCAAAAGTCATATCGAGTATTTCGGAATCGAGTAAGATTGTTAGACAAATTGGGTCTTGAAAGTAGAAACGATTTCGATAGATGATAGAAAATGTTTGGATTTTTAGTACCTTCATTGTTTTCCTAATATCATCAGCTGATAGGAGATTTACATGTTATTACATTGAGAAAAATCAATGATTGATGAAACGAAGAGTAAAACTGAAATACTATCAGAGTGTGAAAAGATTGTTATTATTTAACAACAACGTTTTCGGCTTAATTTCTTAACTGAATTAGCTTGACAAGAAAGGTAATTAGTGATTAGTGATTAGAGGGGAAAGCTAATAGAAAGTAAATTGATTGAGATGATGATAAGGATGACGATGATGAGCATGATGAGAAGGTAGTGAAAAATGAAAGAAAACAATTCTCGCAAGTAAAAAGATCATTTAACTTTAGAAAAAGATTAAAAAAGTGGTAAACGAATTAACTTGACATATTAACTTTTTGTTAATTTTTGATGCTTTGTTTTTGTAAACTATCAACAACTATCATCATCGTCATCATCATCATATAAGATGATTGTAATTGAAGGTATCTGAAGATGGAGAGACAATAAACGAAAAAAAAAACAGCGAATGAGCGAAAATATAACGGTAATGATCAATATTGGAATTGAACAAAAAAAGATGAGCAAGTAAAACAATTATTATAATGGTTGGTAATAATAATAGACATGTAACAATTAACAGTTAATGTGGTAATTGCTTATTAGTAGCATTAAAATGGATTAAGAGAAGGATAAAGTTGACTGAGTTTTGTTTAGAGTGAAAAATAGTTGATATTGAAAAAAAAGAGTCACTAAATTGAGAGTCAGGTCAAAATTTCAGGTAATCAAAACAATTATACCATTTAAAAAAAGGTAAATTATTAATTGTCTTAAACCTCAATTGATACTCAATTAGATTTGCAATTGATTTTCAAGTGTATTGATAATTTAATCATATATGCCCAATACATCATCAATTGTAGTAATCACCATTATAATTTGCTAATCAGTCTATCGTGCAGCAATTTAATTAGATTCATCTAAAGTAGACTATATAATAGCTGAGAAATTAAGAATAATGAAATTAAATTAAAATAAAATAGATGCAAATTAAATTGTTGGTGTTACCTTGAAATAATTAAAGACAACTGATATAACTACTGGTTATAATGGTATAGCGATTAACATGATAAGATTAATTGATTAATAATGATTCAAATACAATTAACAGAATGAGTGATGAGAGGCAATGATCTTTAGAGTAACCACCTTCATGATTATTCATACTAATTATCGGTGATATCATAATCATAATCATCACCATTAACCATCATTACCATTATTCTAAGTCAATTGATTAAGGATAAAATTACATTTGATTTAATAAAATTACAAATTAACCATGAAGTAATATTTTAATTATCTGAGTTAATTTGATTTTAATTTCAAAATAAATCATCAATTCAATGGTCAAATACACCAACGGGTGTGTTGGTCAAATGATGAGAATGATAGTAACTCAACTGACCCATTCATTTTATAATCTACTCTGATAATGATTAGTCAAAACAGGGTAAAAATATAAATACGCACACACACAAAATCTTGATTATATTGTATACACAGTAATCAAAATAATCAGAGTGAGTGTTAAATAGTAACAATAACAACGAACAATTAACAACATCATTATTATGTTTTTGTTATTATTATCAGTAAACAACAGAAACCGACAAGTAAATACAATAATACAAAAAAAGGCAATACTGTTAATCTAGGTAATAATAATGACAGTTAATTTAGGAAAAGGAAACTAAGATTGGTGAAACAATTTTGTGGCAAACTCATTTGTGGATTATCAAGATTAACACGGACAAGGAACACTACCCTTTGGATACAATCAAATTAACTTAATCCACCAACCTGCAAAAATTAAAATTGATGTAATTAAGTAACTATTAGGGATGAGTTTATCTATCACATTATATGAAGACTTTTTCTGATTTTAATGTTGGATAACAAAATTGCAATTATTATAAATGTTTATGCATAGATGGTCATCTTTTGTGTCTTCTTAATCCAAGAGACATTTTAATTGTTAAGTTAATTCACTTTATTCACTAATTAATTTTATGATTAAGTTAACCAGTAACTTTTCTGGTGATTTCTTGAAGTGTCAACGGTTAATCTTGACACTTTCAAGAAGATATCAACATGATAATCTTGCAGTTAAGTGATACAATTATTTGGGGCATCATCTACTATTTAAAAACTATAATATGTTATCATGAATGAAATAGTAGAGTGAAAAGAAAGAGCCTGAATCTTATGTTTGAAACTACTGGTCAACAGACTCATCAAATTGTGTAAATAATCAAGCTGATTGTTATCATTTTTTTTAGATGACCAATTGAAAATGGACATTCTCAATGAACCGATAACTTAACAACAGTAAAGTTTGATTGCTGTTGTGTTAAGTTAACCATTTATAAATTATTTTTGATTATTGATGATAATTCATCAAACTAGATTAATATCCTTTTATTTTTATTTTCTGCCCTAAAATTTTCCAATTGTAGAGTAAATTAACTTTTGGAAGTTAATTAAATCTTCAATTTTTCAACAATTACCAACTAAAACTAATAAATTTCTCAACTAATTTGTTACATATAATAATTTTCAACGTGATTATGTTGATAAAAAAACAAAACTATCGAGAGAGTGAAACAAAAATTAGTGAAATGAAAGGTAAAAATTGAACTTGATTCTCACAGTAAACACTGCACATCAAAGCAATTAACTAATTGCAATTAATTAGATTGTTAAATCTCATATAATGAGAAGAGGGTATTTAGGAGGGTATGAGGTGAACTGTAGGGTGGTATCATCATGTTCATCAATAATTATCGTTATGATCAACAGAATGACAAGTTATCCGATTACAATTAGAAAAGTGATTTGTAATTTAAATCAAGGTAATAATCAAATAACAATAATAAGAAATCATGAGTTGATTATATTTATATTGTATTAATTAAAGAATCACAATTATAACAAAGATGATGATAAATTCTAATCTAATTTTGTATAATCAACTTTACTCTCTCACCGTCCAACAGGATATTGCCCTCAGGTAATTTATTGATTCTACTAATAATTTTTCTTAATTATCGGTGCTCACTTGTTTATCATTCTCTGTCACATTATCGATTGGATGTTAACTTTTCTCAAGAAATGGATAAGCTAATCATCATCATCATTAGTATAATTAGATTCTGATTAACTAACAAACTCATTATTATTATTATTATATTTTACTTATTTTAATTCAATATATATTTTAATGTCCACCTTCATCATCATTATCAGAATGATAATCAAATACAATCATTATCATTTTGACATTTTCTTTTTTTCTTCTTTAAATAAACACTGAATTTATACCTTTGGCTATCCAAATGTATTCGTCTCAAGGTGAGATACAATAAGATGATAACAAATTGTATCAATTATAAGTTTCTGATTCAAATATAATTATAAATTGTTCATAATTATGGATTCAGTTTAGAAAAAAATAAAGTTTCTCCAATCAAAATATTACTAATTCTTTACTCAATCAAAATCATCAATAAAAATAATGCTTTTAGATGAATAATTATTTCATCTACTATGATGATGATTGGGTATTAAAAAAAATCCGAATCGATAATCAACAAATCACAATCATCATTTTCCTGAGTTGCCAAATAAACCAGAAACTGTCAATTTGATCAATCAAAAGTTGATCAAGTTACCTACTTCTAATTACAATTCTAATATGATATTCTTTACATGGTAAATCTTTTCGATAGAGAGAAAAAGTGAGTGAGTTAGTGAGAGAAAACAATGAAGGGCGTTTATTAATCTGGGGCGTTTTCTGTTGAGTGTATTAATTTTTGTCTCCACTAATCAGGGTGTTAAGGGGAAGAGGGGAAAAAGAATTGATTTAAATATGTAATTAGGTGAGATGAGAGAAAAAACAATAAATATGAGGTAATGAATAATGGATAAACTTACTTAATCTTGCATTGATAATCGAATTAAAAGCTTTGGAAGTTGATTTAATCGCATGGGAATATTGGTTGGCCCAGTCTCTTTCTTTTTGAAAATATTCTTCACAATCTTTATGTGTTGACCTTCCTCGGGAATCAATGTTTTCAGATAATTTACCCAATATATTTGAAGATTTGGGTAATTTAACTCTTGGGGGTGGATTAAGGGAGCAAAGAAATTGTTCCCAAATCTTATCATGGCCGAAAATTGGATGATTAAGAAGTAATCTTAAATATTCTTGGATTTGCCAGCAATCTTTGTACCATTCATCACCGATTAGAGTTCTTGTATTGGGACCAAGTTTTTCTCTACTCTTTTCTTTAGCATGTAAGGGATTGGTCATTGATTCTTCGGGTAATGGTGGCATAATTAAACCATAACCAGGAGCAACTGATGCAGTTAAACTTTGATTCAATTGTTGAAGATCATCATATATCCTTTCAACTTTCCACTCTTTACCAGAAGATTCATCCATTAAAGATGTTGTGGTCAGTTTATAAATGACACTTTCACCATCTTTTGTTATACTATTGGTTGACACTTTAACTTTATATTTTGGTCTAAATGGTTCTTGGGCTACCTCTGAAGAAGAGCTTGTAGATACATTGGAAACAATTGAAAGTGATTGAGGTGATTGACGATCTTCCGGATAATTTTCCTGGAAAAAAACACAATCAAGAAGAAAAAGAAAAAAGAAAACAAAAATTAATAGATAATAACACTTAACATATTCACATTAACTAATTAAATCTTACCTTAGATGGTGATGGTTGTTTCTCATCGTTTTTCAAACCCACAGGATCTTCAAGTGAAATATTGGAAACATTTACCGGTTCAATACTAGCGATTGCAGAATCAATAGTATCCATATTAGACAGAGAAAAGAATAGAATTTTTCGGTTTTCTTTTTAGAATAAAACAAAAATTCGATTCAGAGGTAAACTAAGCAATAGAAAATAATCAACTGGTTGTTGACACAATCAAAAGTAACAACAATCCAAAGGATTAATAGACAGTTAATAAAAAAAAGGAAATGTTAATCAAAAGCTAAACAACAAAAAAATTAATCGAGGTACAAAATCAATAAAAGTAAACCATTAAAATGAGAAGAGAGAGAGAAAGAGAGACAGAGACAAAGAATAAAAAAGAGAGAGTGAGAGAGAAAAAAGTATCCAAGGTTAACAATGTAACAATAGTCGTTTGATGGGATCGGTTAATTAATTGGTGAGTAACAACAAATGAAAATCAATGTAAATCACAATAATTGAAATTAAATCAACGAATAGATCACGAACCAAGAGAGAGAGAAAGAGAGAATAACATTGAGAGAGAAAATAAATCCAAAGAGAAAAAAATTTTGCTCCATTTGAGTTACTGTTCCATAGAAACACCAGATGGAAGCACATCGAAAGGTAAACATATGTTCTGTTTCCATGGTAACAGTAAATCTCCGGTCGGGAAAGAAAGAGAAAAGAAAGAGAAAAAGAAAGCGAATCTTTTTGATGAAAGGAAAAAAAGAGAAATATTTTCATTTTAATTCTTCTGTGTTTATGTTGTTTTCTTGTGAATAATTTTTTTCTCTTACCAATTATCTCAACTCTCTGAATTTCTCCTGAAACTTGATTACGTTCAATCAATGGTTTGGTTGTGAATGGATGAGACAATTTTCATCGACTAATTTATCTTTCGCTCTGAAAAAGAATCGTTTTCTTTTTCTCTTTTCCATTTGTGTTTCTTTCTTTCTTTCTCTCTCTCTCTCTTTCTCTTTCTCTTTCATATTTTTCACAGCATTTTCGCCTCTTTGTTTGCATCATTTTGTCTACTTTTTTTGTTGTTTTGTTTTCATCTTCATCCAATCAATGAGGATTTAATTTATTTACAGAACAAATAATTTAAATCGCAAGTCTAAATGAACTTCTAAGAAAATTCTAAAGAAGAAAAAATTACCTGTCTACTAATTGGTTCTTTTTTCTTTCTTTACCTCTTTCTCTCTTTTTTTGTGTCTTTTTTTTCGGTTTTCTCTCTCAACTTCTTTTTTCTTCTTCCTGTTTTCTACTTTTAATTGTTCCAAATTCTCTCTCTTTTCCTATAAACATCTTAATCTTCTGTACGACAATTTAATGTCTCACATGGAGGTTAATCAAACTTTATCAGTTTACAATAATATTGTCTACTTTGGTGTTCATAAATTTTGCTGTGATGAAATTCGTTTAATTTCAGCTGGCATTAAATTTTCCCAAGTTTGTCAAGTCCAAGAAAGATCTCGTTTCAACATCACCATTCCACCAATTGATATAAAAAAGGCCTATTTTGACAGTAAAACTGGTGAGAATTTGTCAACCCTGATCACAGAAACTAATCCTGATTCTGGAACTAAAATAAGCAGCGCATTGAAACTAAAACCTAATCAACATGATACAAACACTCAAGGTAATTATTTGTTTTCTTCTCCCTCTCGCACTTGTCTTACTTTGGCTGTTCTCTAATGATTGTCCTTCCATCGTTTATCGCGATTAACTGTCAAAATCTCTTATAAATATTTCGTACGATTGTGAAAACTCACCGTTCAAATTATGATTTAGGTTAGTGATTAACTGCCATCTCTTGACATCTCTTTCATTTTCTTTATTTTCTAATCTCACTCACCATTTATCATGCGTTTGCCTCTCTTATATTTACTGTCTCGTATTTTTAACTAACATTTAGTAGCCGCATGCTTATTTTTTTCTTCCCCCTAATCTAATACTCTTCATGGAATATTAGACAACTTGAAGGATTTGAGCTTTTCTTTTTTGATCCTCTGTCGCTGTTTTCTTTTGTCTTACACTCTTATTTCATCTTATTTTTTTTATTAATTTTCTACTCTGTGACTTTTTTCTTCTTCTCTTCAATTAAACTATTAGGATCGATTCGTGTTCTTGTTCAATTTAACGGACAAGGTGAAGAAATTTACAAAATATTGGAAGGATATTTTTCCGTCTTTAGCCAAGTGGATTGGAAACTTGAGAGAGCCCTATCGCGAAGCGTTCTTAAATACCTTGATTTCTTGATCAATTATTCTCAACAACCAACACCAGATTTGGAAATTTCTGCCAGCAAGGAGAACGACGAAAAGACAACACAATCAATCCTGTGTAAATCGAAAAAAACATATTCAAGTTTACCACAATCAACGAATACAACAACATCATCAATGTTCTCATCTGCCCTTAGATCATCTTCTCCACCTTCTAAACAGTCTCCTATCCTGGTTAAGAATAAAACGAACGTTTTAAGGCCCAAATCAGATGAATCACCTTCCATAATTGATATTGAAATCGATAGTGATGATGAAGATGACACTGAAAACCAGCGTAGTTTGAATGGCTCAATATCTAATAAGTAAATGACTTTAAGCTGCGTTTAATTTGTAACAAGCTCTATGGCTTATTTTTAACTGTCATTCTTATAATTCTTTTATTTTGACCCAGTGATGACCATCTCTTCAGTTACCCACCCGATGAAATTGATCGTATCTCAATCCACCAATCGGATCTTGCTTGTTTGGAACAAGGGCAATATTTAAATGATACAATCTTAGGTTTCTATCTTAAGTAGGTTATTTTTTTATCTATGGAAACATAATAACCTTAATTCGTCTCTGTCTTACTCATGTTGATCTCTTTTTCTCTTCTTTTCATAGATACATCGAAAAAGACTTGACAGCGCCAGATATTGCCGAAAGAAGCTACATATTTAGTACATTTTTCTATTACAAGCTCACCCACAGAACTCGAGTATCGGAGACTCAAACTCAGGACAATCAATCGTAGGTGTCACCTGAATTTGTGTACCTGTTGATTTAATGTTGGTCAAGTGGTGATTTCCTTATTTGCCAATGACCAACAGCCAATCAAATAAAAATTATTGGTTTTCCGTAATTATGGCCTTTTGGTCATCTAATCGGCATTGATAATCTGATACTTAATTGTTTATTTATTCTCTCCTATCTATTCAGGCTTTCTGATAAATATTACAATAGAGTCAAGAATTGGACAAAAAATATTAATATATTCGAAAAAGACTTTATAATTATCCCAATTAACAAATCCTGTCATTGGTTTTTGGCAATCATATGTTATCCAAGGAAGGTTCCATTCATGGACGAGATTTTACCGATAGAAATTGAAAAAAATCCAAAAAGGTATTAGATTAATTTAACCAGTTCAATTTGAGATACATTTCTAATCCTTTTGAAATTGCGTCTCTCTCTCTCTAGACCTTGTATACTTTTCATGGATTCACTTCAAAGTGCTCATAGTAAATGTGGATTAGCTGCACCAATTAGACACTTTCTAACCAAAGAATGGGAATCAAAGAAAACGACAAAGAAAAATTTTAGTAAAAGTGTAATGCCTGATATTTATCTCAAGGTGCCTAAGCAAATTAACTCCTTCGACTGTGGTCTCTATGTGCTACAATATATTGAAAATTTCTTAAGAGTAAGTTAATTTGAAGGTCAAGTAAACTTTTTCTCCTCGCCAACACAAATTAATTTATCTTTTTATCCTTAAACATTTCCAGAATCCTGATTATTTACTTGAAAGAATTTGCAAAGATCCTGCTATCAATCTAGAAGATTGGTTTTCTCTTTCACTGGTCTCTTCTAAGCGACGAACAATTAAAAGATTGATTAAACAGCAACGAGAAGCAGGCGAGAATAAGAAAAATGGTAATTGTGAAAAGATGGAAACTGATGATGATAGTTGATGACTGATTTTCTTCAAACTAATTTCGGTCAAATAAACCGCATCAAAATAAGTTTGACGTCAAATTTTCACTAACCGGGGAAATTTTCATGATTAACTCTCCCACTTATTAACTCTGCTCATCATGGAATAATTTTCAACCGTCTTCCCGAAACGATTAACCTCTTAAATCACCGATTAATGATATCCAGTGTCAATAACTAACATCTAAATCACTGCGGACCAACATTCAATATACTGATGACTGACACTCCCTTGCTCTCTCTCTCTCTCTATCTTTTTCTTCATCCATCTCTCTATTTCAGACTCGATTCTCTTTTGATTATGTCCATCGTAAATACGTGTTGTATTGTATCCGAATTTGTCATCTTTAATTACGCTATCAAGAGACATTAACATAGCTATACATCTTTACTATCATCATCGCCGTCATCATCACCATCTTTCACAATTGATTATATATAAACATAAACAACCATCATCAAAATGCATCATAACAACAACAACAAATCTCTTCGTCATCATTGGAAATAATTTAAAGAAAAACGTTGAAGACGTTTCGTTCATTACAATCAAAGATTCATCACTGTGATTCACATTTAATCCTATGGAATTAAGATTAAGAGATGATATTTATACATATATAAATGATCGGAGGAGCTACAATATTATCTTCAATTAGCTAATTGTAAACAATCATAAATCTAAATTATATCGATTGAAAAAATTATATTGAACTTTCTATAACATTTGCCTGTTGAGTTATATTAGGATTAAGCTGAAATGACCTCAAACAAGCTGGACAGATTAACATATTTGGATGATCCTGTTGCCATTTTTTGTAATCCACTCGGAGATATGTCAAACCGATTACTGTTGAAATTAGAAAAACAATAAAATACATAATGATAAATGTTACAAGTAACTTGTTCCATTTTGGCAATAGAATCGGATTAGATTGTTGATATTGAATAAAGCCGAGGAAAACAGTGTAATAGCCAATGGTCAACATGAAAGAAGTGGAAATGATTGAACGATATCGATGATTCTGTTTAAAATACAAGCGAAAAGTTGGATGATTTGGTCTAATTGTAAATTCGGGAGAATATGATTGACAATTTGGACACCGATAGCCACCCAAAGTACGAATACCAATCATAATCAGTGGATTAAGAGAGAGGATTAAGCGATTGTTAAAAAGAAAAAAAAAGAAAAGAAAATCGATTAACTGTTTAGTGACACAATTGGAGAAATATCTTCTGAACCATTTATATAAACTTTTGTGTAATAATTTCGTACCAAAAGATTTAAATTAATTAATCATCAGGATATTTAATCTACAATTAACATCATAATTTAATTATAATCTCCTGTTAATTGATTGTTACACTAAAAGAAACAATGAAAAGATTGTATCTGTTATTGACAAGTTAATGTTTTCGATTTAATTTCTTACAATGTAAATTCATCCATTTAGAAATTAATCCAACACCAGTGAGAAGTTAAATTGTAATGTTTTCGGTAACAAAGTGATTAACTCTTAACTCTATCACATTGAGA